CTTGACAGCGGATCTGCGACTTGTCACTTGGGCAAGCTTTATTAAACAACAGTCAATTTATGACCTTTTTCTTGTCGTCACAATGGCTGCAGGTGAGAATACAAGGTGTGTGCAGTAACGAAAAAGAAAAGTAAAAGACCCTTTTGCACGCCGTTATGTGGGTTGGGCGTATAGGGCGATACCTTTATTTAATAGACCGATCGGCACTTGGTGGGTCAGCCTCACACCGGTCGCCTTTACTTTCCATGACTTTACCTGGTTCCCAGTTAAGGCTGAATGATCTGGGAGCCGAAGTAATTTAAAATAAAGGAAGTATGGCTCCGTTAGGACCTGAACCCACGACCTTCCGATCCGCAGGCTAGAGTGTAGCCGCTATACCACAGCTGTACAAGGTAAATATCATCATCATGTAGCATCCTTTGCAGAACGTATCTCTCATCAGTTCTCGCCAGTTCTCCCGCCTCATGTACTTTCATACTCAAGGAGTCACTTATATCCTGTGCCAGTCTTCGTGTTGGTCGACCCCTGCTCCTCCTTCCTGGTACCATGATTGCTGCTATTTTTCTAAATCCGCTATGGCACTGGAGATGACCAAAATATTTCAGCTTCCGAGACAAGATGCTGTTTATGAGCCAATCTTCTTTGATGCTAAGATCTTTTAAAATGTCAGTATTACTTCTCTTCTTTGTTCCCGGTATTCTGAGAATCTTTCTATAGCATTTCAGCTCAAAAGCCCATATTTTCGTTCATAATGACAAGGCGTGCACAGACATTTACCAAAAAAAAAAAAAAAAAATTGTTGAATATCCTCTGCAGGGACGTTGCAAACAGGGTTCAGTTTTTTTTTTTTTTTTTCGTTAACTGGTTGTAGTTTTACTAGGCGATTTACACGCAGTTTGCCATTGCGTGTTTTAGGGGTAGAAAGAAAAGGCAGCATAAAAAAAACAGACAAGACACACTGATAAAGGGCTTTAGGTTACGTTGTGCTCGTTTTGTGGTGCCTCAGTACAACTGTGCTTTGTAGCTATACGCTTGAACGGGTGTCCGGGATTTGTACATGTTTTAATCTCACCCTTGAGTTGTTAATCCTACACACTGCAATCCCAAAGGAAAAAAAAAAAAAAAATTTGTATATTAAGTAGTAAGCGAACTTTTAAAACAGTCCTTGATAACGAAAAACAAAAGTTGCAGAGACATCCTTTAACTTGTTGCATATGCTTAGCAATTTTAAGTTCTTTTGTCGAGAAAGCTGGGCCCAGGTTCTTTGTAAGATTATGCGCGATTTCCGCCCCGACCTAAAAATAAAACCATAACCCTGCACAGTCCGTGGCGACAGCGCTAGCTACGAGACCCTAAATCCTCAGGCTCAGAGACACACTGCATGCACCGTAATAAGCGGTAAATTTAGGTAGTAATGGCAGTATTTTGGGGGAGGGGTAGGCTTGTCACTGCTCACTAAACAGTCAAGGCTCATGCTGTTGTTGTTTGCACCTTTCCGTCTTTCCAGACGATAGTATTATATTGTGCTATGCGAAGGCTGAAGTTCCTCCTCACCACAACACAAAGCCTGGGCAGTATTGTAGAGATAATGTGTTCACCGTGCAACATGATTCCTCCGTCGACCTGCCTTGCCTACTCCATAGAAAAGGTAGCACCAGTACGTTTGGAACAAAGCAGGCTGCAGAAGTTGCCGTATCAGAAGAGCAGTGCTCTACTAGACCGCCTGTAGGAGCTTACTTTCTAGACAAGCTGCCAGCCAAGGCTTAGTGCCTTGTCTGTCCTGCCATAACATACAGTTTTCAAGTTGCATTTCCTCTTCCTAAGATTAGGCTACTATCCTCCCCAATGGTTTTAAAAACAATACTGGAGGGAAAAGTCGAGGACAAAAGAGCAAGAGCTAGGCAACGATACAAGTGGGAGGAAAACATCAAGAGATGGACGAACAGTAGTCTGTGTGAATGTACATCCAAGACAAGAGGTAGAGCGTGTTCAAGGTTCATACTGACGTCGAAATCAACATATAGTGCCATATTTTTGGGGAATAAAGAATGGATCCACCCCCAACATCCGTGTCGTACAGTGTGACTAATTATGGATATTTCCTTTATGGTCGGAGTGCATCTGCCTGAGAGGTAATGAACCAACATTCTGCATACAAATAAGGCACATCTGTCAAACGGATGTGCACGCAAAACTCATGTTCTGTAACATGTCTAGAGTCTAAAAGGAACAAACAGTCAGAGCTTTCCGATGGAGTTAACAGCCGATAAAAGCGAGGAAAAAGAAGAAGAACAAGAAGAAGAAAAAAAAGTACAAGAAGAACAAGAAGAAGGTGTACATGTCTATGAAGCATGGTAGTAACAGTGAAAACCCTTAACATGCCAGAATCTGCATATCTTCTTTTACCCCACCAGGACATCACACAAGCGAAAAACACCCGATGACACAAAGTGCCACCATATGGATGAGGATCACCCGTGGAGAGGTCTCAGAAACCGCGTTCAACCATTAGACCATATTTATGGCCGAGAACCCGTCTCTCTAGCGTAGTTGGCTAAACCGGATTGCGCGGTGAGCGGGTGACGAACTCCTTGTGGTCCGGGTTCACTTCCGGGGATGGGCAGAAAAGCCACATTTCTCCCAGATTTACGGTATTTAAAATGGAATCAAGGCCGAAAGGTTGCGATATCCATAATACCGAGCCTAAGGGTTAACAACTCATGGCTTCTGGATACTAAAACAAACAAACAAACAAAACATGGCCGGGCTAGAGTGGAGATTCAAATAACGAAAAATTGCATCCTACAAAGAGATGACAAGATATTAATAACATGCCAGAAGTGCGTAGGACGGACGATAAAGAACTTGTATTTATAAACAAATCGGTACTCTATGTATATTGTGGTCAACATCACGTCGATTGCCTTTACTTCCAAATTCATTGTCTAGAACCCATTTAAGTCGACCTAGCAGACAAGGTCATTTTGTTTAAATTAACTAAGGCCTCGGGGACGTCAAGCGAGCGCCTAGGGCGCTCTCGAGGAACAGGGTTCGACTTCCTGACTTGGTCAGTCGGGGGTCGTGAGTGTTGGTGTGACTGAGATTCCTGGCGACTGTTACTGGAGCTATGGGACTTTACCAACTGATTATTCTGTTATTTTTTGTTTTTAGTTACTGATTTTGTTATTTTCTACTGAACATTATCAACTGATGATTTTGTTATTTTCTAAGGTACATTGTCAGTTAATGATTTTGTTATTTTCTACAAAACATTATTAACTAATTTTTTTCTTATTTTCTACGGGAGATTATCAACTGATGGTTTTGTTTTTTTCCTACGGGCTATTAAGTTTAGCTGTGTATCCTTAACAGGACGTTACAGAACCAACCCCAACAGCCCCTGGCTGTTGTGCCCTAACTGTTGTGTGGTTTTTCTAGGCAAATTTACGTCCAGTAGTTTGTCATTGCCCTCTGGACGGTCGGCTCCCTTAGTACCACTGTCGAAATCAACGCAAGGCGCATAGCACGCAGCTGGGATCGAACCCGGCATCCCGGCATTACGAAGCGTTCGCATCGTCTCAGCCACAGAGCCGACTACGGGATATTACAAACTGATAATTTTGTTATTTTCTACGAGACATTACAAACTAATGATTTTGTTATTTTCTACTGGACATTTCAAACTAATGATTTTGTTATTTCTGCGTGAACAGCGGTAGTGTAGTGACTAGACGCTCGCTTGCTGGACCGAAAGTCTAAGGTTCAAATCGGCATCAAAAAGGATTGTTTCCCCTTAAAAATTGACCTCGTCTTCCCGCCCGGTCCACCCAGACTAAAATGATTTGATTTGATTTGATTTGATTCAAGTTCCACATCATGCATACAACATGCACATGACACAACAAGATATGACTGATAGCAAATAGGGAAAAACAAGTGACTCGATACTGACAAGATTAGAACACATAACCACTAATACTACCCCATCATTGGGATGATAGCAAAGGTTGGTAACGTGATACACATAGTCGCGGCTAGAATCCAGCAAGACTGCAACGACGAGAAATGACTGAATGGCCTCCTGCCCCTTTCCCCTAACCCTTCCCTACCTCTTTCTGATGCACTGCGAGTTTACCCCCCCCCCCCAACCCATTTCCACAGAAAGCACGCGAGTTCGTTACAAAACATGCCACAGCAACTCTCATCGCTGAACATTTGGATCTCAAAGAGTGAGCTGAATGCTCCGGTTATATGGTATTTACGCACACCGGAACCTAGCTGCCAACACAAACAGACAGAACCGGAATACTCACTAACAAATGACCATTAGGTCCGCGTTAAGACTTCACACAACAGTTTACAAACATATCCACATGAAATGACTAATCCGTATTTCAGGAAGACAACTATAAGATCACTATGGTCACACGCGAAATAATTTCACATTTCGGAACTATCAAAAACTGTTTTCAGCACTTTTTGGCAAAATAAGTACTCAAAATTTTAAAACTGTAAATGGTGGTCCAAAGGACGTTGTGTGGAAAAAAGCGCCCCCCTACGAAATACGCCTGCGACGCCCCATAACATGATAAAAATCCACGCAGCCATCAGTGAGTTTCGATCGCGGTACTTTGGAATTATGAGTCGGACTCGCAACGCTTAGTTAAGCCACGGACGCTGCAGTGGTGTAAAAGGGATCATATTGTTGTTTTGTTTGTCTTTTACTTTGTGTCTCTTAAACATTACAGATAATTTCAGGTTTCAAAGTTTCCATGATAATTGATGGGACACCCTGTCACATAAATAAACGCAATGAGAATTCACGATGTATGAATTCGAACAATGAATAACCTTATTTGTGTAAGGTACAAATACTTAGCGTGCAAGTTTCGTTGTTTTACTAATAGCTTATGTAAAGACTAAAAGACCGGCCTGAAAAAATACTTAGTGAATTCAAACATCGGATCAGGAGTCAGATACAGTGGAATTGGGCAAAGAAAATGAGTGATTTACAAAGCGACTTTACAGTTACTGGAATTGGGTAAGTTACCAGTTTTTTAGTCCATTTGGACTTTGTTGTGTGTGTATGTGAGGGGTTTCATGTAAAAGTATATTTTTTTAACACATGTGTCTAAAATATAAGTTATATACAAAAACTTTTGGGTGTGAGTGAATCTTCTTGTGTTCTTATGTGGGTAATCGTACTGTTGGCACACTTGCAATATCCCAGCCAATCTACAGTGGATTACTGGTAACTTTGTAACCTTTTTGTGATGCCCCAATATAGAAGCAATCTAGAGGTCGACCACGCAAACGACGATTAGACGGAATATCAGTGGCCGTAAATACCAGTATCTACGTAGCACATACCAAGGCTCGCACCTGACGCCCACAATCTGACGCCGACAGACAGAATAGGACTAGCGGAGGAGGAGGAAGAGTAGGAGGAGAAGAAGAAGAAGCTAATTTTTTTTTAAACTCCAAATTGTTTAAGCCGTCTGTCTCGTAACCTGAAGCTTTGAGTTCCATTTCGGATTCTGTTCCTTGGTTTATGAGCTAATGATGTATTACCTCAGGAAACATCATTATCACGTGACACAACGAAAAGAATAGTCTTACATGTTTTCCCATCCCACATGAATAACCAGGTCAGAGCTCTTGTCTCGCCCCATCAGTACGACCGAGATATTCAGGTACTTATCTCCTCTTGCTTTCCTCCCAACAATCTTGCCAGCTGTTACTAAGTTGCCGGGTCCACTCCTTCACATAGCATATCCAGCACGTGTCACAGATCTGGCCAGAGAGGTATGTGATTTCTCTCGGAGGTACGACAGTTAATTAACTGTTTGTATTTTCGTTCGTATTTTTGGTATAGTACATTTCTGTAATGTGTTGACGAAGGCTGTCCAGCTTAACTATCGGAGCTGACTCTGTTACTCTTGATGACCGTGTGTAACAGGGTTACAAGAATAGAAGCAGCGAAACCTGCCATGCCCACCATGTAAGAGGCCGCTAAGGAAGATTGACCCTAGACAGGCTACCTCACCCCATATATAATTTGAGCTTCAAAATTTTCTGTGTCAGAAACGAGTCTCAGATTAGCTTAGCGAGAGTTGGTTTAAGACCTATGCTGCGCTGAATAATAATAATAATAAAGAGGAGGAGGAGAGAGAGAAAGACGAGAAGTGGCAGCACTAACAGTTGTTAAAGTGTCGTGGTGGTGGTTGTAGTAGTAGTAATACTACTAGTAGTAGTAGTAGTAGTAGTAGTAGTAGTAGTAGTAGTAGTAGTAGTAGTAGTAGTAGTAGTAGTAGTAGTAGTAGTAGTAGTAGTATGGTGGTGGTTGTAGTAGAATAGTGGTAGTTTCTTTCTCATACTAAAAGCCTCCCAATGCAACAGCCACCCTGCTAGATAATTAAAATACGCACCTAAAACCTCACTAGGAGGGAATACGACGGCAGGAGGCCTGAAAAATTCTAAAAATGTAGGTGCAATCTATAATATCACTTGAAACAAACACCGCTTATCAGAACCGGTCAACAGGGGTGGGAAGGTCCTATCAGTGGTGTAGTCTATTCCAAAAGCCGTGCCGTCAGACTTCAACAAATATCTCGGAAACTACCGTAGGGACCAACACGATTTGTTTTTTGCATGTGGTCTTAGATTTTCTGTGTCCTTATGATTTCACAGTTTTACAGTTGCACAGGTGTTTCTATTTTCTTTCAGCGGCGAATGTCATTGATCTTTGTTGGAATAATAATTTGTGTACGCCTAAAAGAAAACATACAGTAGTTGACAGAAATCTTGTCCTTTTTATAAGCCAGTTAACAAGTATTATGGCACCACATGACGTATCCTCTTCACTATTCAAAATACGATCGCCTTAGTTTATCCCAGGGATTACGTATAGAATATGGGCAATTATTGTAAACATGCAATTTGTATACTTTGAATCAACTCTTTTTTTTTCTGTACACCACAAATAATAATAAATTTAAAAAAGCTAGATGTTTGTTTACATTATAAGTATTTTCCCACAAGAACATGATTATTAACAAGCTGAGGGGGACTGTGTGGTCTCGAGGTATGCTGTCCGCCCTGAGTGCTAGAGGTCCAGGATTCAGGCCCAGGTGAACGCTGGCATTTTTTCTGTTCACGTGAACTTCTAGTACTTTCCACTGGTCTCTGGGTAGTTAGATAGGATGCCCGTGTGTATTGCTGCGCACGTAAAAAATCCAGTGGCAGTTAGAAAGTGAAAAGAGTAGCCTAACGGCGCTTACCGCGCAAAATTTGGAGTTAAAAATCTGCCCAAAATATTTCATGATCCTCACTGGTGCTACTGAGCCCATGCACTGCGATGAGCTACCTCGGACACACTTATGGATTACTAGCATAGTGTGCCATGATGTTGATCCGTTGTTCAAACTTCAAACTTCAAATTTAGCACGCTGCATGCCAAATTTGCACAATTTACACCGAACTGTTACTGAATTACTGATTCTTAAAGTTGAGCACGACTTTTGGCATGGACTATAAAAGGAATACCGTTATCTTTATGTTGGTTTCAAGACAATGAGAATTTTACAGTAAACTGTGTGAATAGTTTACAACAAAGACATTCAGAGATAATAAAAACACGCTGGTACCAAAAGAGTTATAATTTCTACAGAGATTTATTTCACAGGCAGATCCAAATTGATTGGGAATTTAGAGATTCAGCCAGAGAGAATCTACGAAGTGTCATAATGGTAATAAATATGAGGATATCGTTTATGTGGCGGATACACTGCCACAGAGTGACAAGCAAAAAATTAAAGTAAAGGACATTTTCCCACTCCTTTAGGTATATGGGGCATATAGGGCTAGACCTACATTTTATTGACCAGTCGGTGGGTGATGTGGTCAACATCACACCAGCCGCCTATGCTTCCCAGGTCTGTACCTGGTACCCATTTAAAGCTGGGTCGCCCTATCAGCCCAGAGTCATTAAAAAAATAAGTCCCGCTCCGTCAGGAACTGAACCCACGACATTCGGATCCACAGACAGACGTCTAGCCCAGCGGTTCTTAACCTGTGGGTCGCGACCCCTTTGGGTGTCGAACGACCCTTAAACAGGAGTCACCTAAGACCATCGGAAAAAATATAATCACCGAGGTTATGAAGTAACAACGAAAATAATTCTATATTTGGGGGTCATCACAGCACGAGGAACTGTATTAAAGGGTCGTGTCATTCGGAAGTTTGGGAACCTCTGGTCTAGCCGCTACACCTTGAGAGTAACAAGCAGTGAAGTGAAACAAACAGGCTGGTAATTATGACCCAGTACAACTTAACTTCGCGTTAGGGAAAGTGCTAGTCGCGTTGACTGAGGATGTGGACTGAGCGCTTCTGGGAATGTCAAGACTGCTACGATGCCGGTTCGTAACCCAGCTCAACTCAAATCTACAGCTGGGCACATGACGAGGAGAGGAGAACAGAGAAACACCAAACAGGCACTGAAATGGGAAACAAATGGATGCTGTCAGGGACGTCAAGGAGAAACCTTAAGACGAATGCTGTTGACAGAGGCTTTATGTACGGGGACTGGATTCCATCAGTGATATCCAAGGTTCTATACCTGAAGAACGGAATGCTGGACTAGACTGCTGTCCCTATATGTAGGGTGACCACAATATCTTGAGCTGTAAACGGGATATCATATTGATATTTTGAGCTGTAAACGGGATATTCTACTGATATCTTGAGCTGTTCACTGGATATCCTACTGATAACTTGAGCTGTAAACGGGATATCCTGCTGATATCTTGAGCTGTAAACAGGATATCCTACTTATATCTTGAGCTGCAAACGGAATATCCTACTGATAACTTGAGCTGTAAACGGGATATCCTACTGATATTTTGAGCTGTAAACGGGATATCCAACTGATTTCTTGAGCTGTAAACGAGACAGCTCAAGCAAGTCAGTTTAACCCCTCCCTCTTCCCTTTTTTGTTAGAAAAGAAATATTTTAGAATTTATTATTATTATTATTATTATTATTATTATTATTATTATTATTATTATTATTATTATTATTATTATTATTATTATTATTAATCATTAGGGAACTAGTACATTTTTAAGAACCTGAGAATACGAGAATCTATATTATTAAAAATGTTAGTTTTCCGATGTTGTTTTTTAAAAACTATGAAACTACTGAACCGATTGCTTTCAAATTTGCACACAACGTTGCCTTTGACTCCAAGCATGATTTTTTTGTCAGAAAATCGCGCAAACCGCGAACGACATAGCTCCAGCAACGGTCAAATCATTATTTGTTTCGTTGCCGGCCCGGATTTATTTTTAGTTGATTGGCCATATTTGACTACTGAGCTCTTATTGAACTTTGCATTATTATATAATTTCATTTCCACTCTCTGCTTAAGTGTTTGGTAGCGTAGTTGGTAGCTCTTATGCATATCATGCGGGTGACCTGTGTTCCATTCCCCGCTGGGTGATATACTTTTTTTTTAGCCCTTAACTGGGCGGCTGGCACGTTGTGTTGTGGTTTATGGCTAGGCTGCGATATCTACACCTTTTTCGATTTTGGGGTTTACAGCTAGCCTGCGACAGCGGTGGTGTTGGATGCTCAATGGTCATGTCACGGGTAATCTTCGTTCGCCCTCGAGAGGGCCGTTGGCACGTTGTGTTGTGATTTACAGCTAGGCTGCGATATCTGACCTAAAACTCTTCAGTCGTCGGTATTATAGTTGTAAGTATGTCATCCTTCACGCGGGTGACCGGTGTTCGATTCCCCGCTGGGTGATAATTTTTCTTTTTCCTTCAAAAGGGTGGTTGCCACATTGTGTTGTGGTTTACAGCTAGGCTGTGATATCTGCGCCTTTCGCCCAAAGACATCCGATTTCAGTTAGGTCCTAATTAGCCTCCTCGCGACGCTTTTCGATCAAAAACTATTTGGCGATGACAGAAACTGTTAACTAAGACGGCTTACAGTCCAATTTAATTTGGGTGGACACGGATTCCAAGGTCACTTAAA